TTCTACCCTATGGCTCATAAATTTCACTCTTTATTACCCACCCAAGATAAACGAAAGTGTATGTCCACCAAAGACTTCCACCGGGATGTTCACAGTAGCTTTGTTCACAACAGCCCAAACCTGGAAACAATTCAACGTCCATCATGCAAGAAGGGGTTAATGACCTGTAGCATATGCACACAAAGGAGTAAAAAAGAACTAACTTTTGATAAAAGTGACAACATACATGAACTCTAAACATATGATGGTGAGTAAAAGAAGCCAGATCAAGAGAATAATTTCTGTTTAATTTCATTCATATAACTTCAAGAACAGGCCCGATGATTCTACGGAACAGAAGTGCAGGGCTGATTACCAGTCCCAAGAGAGGAGAAGAGCAGAAATCATCACTCTGCCAATCTCCAGAAACAAGAGTCCATAGACTTCTGCCTTCTGAGTCCCAGGCTGCTGTTGAGGTCCATTAGGTGCTGATTACCCACTGGAATGACTGAGAGGGAACACACTCACACATTACAACGTATGAGAAATGGCTGTATTACTTCCAGATAGGCAGCAAGGAACAGAAGCTTGGATCTACCGTGAGATTGTCTGACAAACTCAGGAAAACTGCCCAGGGCAAAGGGTCTTGAGTGTGCATGCCCCATTTTGTACCACAGCTGAGGGACCCCAAAAAGCAGCCTGCCCTGGGTTCTATACCTCAGAGGCCATGTGGCACACTGGGCAAGGTTGTGAAGGGCATCCTGCTTCTAGAGGGAGAGTTCGTGCAGCAATTTGGAGGTGATGAGGGAGGTGGGGAGGTGACGGTGGAGGTGGATGGCAAAGCAGGAGAGAAATAGAGAGATTAGGAAGAAAGAGGAAACAGGAAAGTTGTGAGGTACCTTGATTGTACAAGTTGACAGGAATCATAACATCTCTGTGTGAGCTGTGAATGCCATAGAGGCTGGGAAGTCCCTTGTTTTCCGTCTCCTACTAACGTGTTTAGGAATGCAGTTTGCAAATGCCAAGAATATCACAATGAGGGAGTCTGAAGTGGGCACAGTCTGCTGGTGGAAATGACTTTGAATCAATAAAGGAAAATCTTCAGTGTCCGCCACCCACTTTGTAGTTATTTCTGCTTAATCATTGTAGAGATACATGGGAATCTTAGATAAAAATATGTGTGAATTTTTAGCTGATGGTTTCTAGGCTATGTCAACTATCAAAGCTAATCAAAAGGTTCTAGAATGGTCTTGTTTTAAATTTTGCTCTACAGGGCCTCTTGGGGCAGACTTTGATGTAGTTTGGATGTGTTGCACCCTCCAAAACTCATGTGGAAAATTGATCCCTAATGTGGCAGTGTTGGAAACTGATTGAGTCATGGGAGTTGATCCCTCATGAATGGATTAATGCTCTCCCTGGGGGTGGGGGATAGTGAGTGAGTTCTCGCTCTATTAGTTCCTGCGAGAGCTAATTGTTTAAAGGATCCTGGCACCTCCTCTCTCTCTCTCTCTTGCTTCCTCTCAACATGTGATCCTCTTGTACCCACCAGCTGTCTGCCAATTTTCCACCATGAGTAGAAGCAGCCTGAGGCCCATGCCAGATGCAGCTGTCCCAGAATCATAAACCAAATAAACCTCTCTTCTTTATAAATTACCCTGTCTAGGGTATTTCTGTTATAGCAACACAAAATGGACTAAAACAGACTTATTGGAATATGGAAATGCCAGTCCCCATAGCAGGAGAAATCCATTGTTCAGAACCATTAATTATCCCCTGACCAAGGTAGGAGCCAAGCTGAAGGCACCAGAAAGGGTGACCCTGAGTGTAAGAGAGAGCAGGGGTACCGTCAGGACACACAGGGCAGGAAAGGATGGATAGGCAGCGAGTGAGGAGCAAGAAACTCCAGTGACATTCTCGAGTGAGACCTCAGGAGGGCAGACGAGTCATATATTACATATCGTAGTTACAGTAACTGTAGTCGCAGCATTTATGAACATAAGTCCGATTGTTGAAATCAAATGTCAAGTCTCTGCAGAACTGCTGACACACCATATATGTTAACTGAAGAGCTTTATCTGTAATAGGAAAGAAGAATAGAAAATAAGCCAGGGATCTAAGTTCTCCAAGGCCAGTCAACCCAGCACTAGTGTCATCAGTGAAAATTTAATCAGGCAACAGCGTAGGTGCAAGGATGGCTTCCACACTTATACTCTCCAAAGGCACCAGGGCAGGGAGATGTAGAAATCTCTGGCCAGCTGCAGGGGTTGTTTGCCTGAGGTCTCTGACAGCCATCAATGCTTTGTGGAGCTGCTTCATTCCTTCCCTGTTAGAAGATCTAATGCTTTAGAGTCTACAAACTCAAAATCTTTTTGCTCAGTTTTACGGGAAATACAGAATCCCCCCCGCCCTACCTGTCTCATTTTCCTAATCCCCTTCTGTCTGCATGCAGAGGGACCTGTGCCACCGTGCTCAGGGGCGATCTGCACATTGCTTTTTCTCTAGGGATCTAAAATTGCTGGGGCCGGCCCGGTGGCACACTCAGAGTGCGCCGCTTCAGAGTGTGGCAGCGCTCCCGCCGAGGGTTCGGATCCCATGTGGAGACCGGTTCTGCTCACTGGCTGAGCACGGTGCGGGCGCAACACCGAGGGTTGTGATCCCGTTACCGGTCAGTAAAAAAGACAAAAAGGAATAAAAAAATAATAATAAAATAAAATAAGTAAATAAATAAAAAATAAAATTGCTGAAGCACTCTCCTAAGAATTCTAAGAATCGCACAGCACCTCCGCAATCCTCTAACTTACCCTGGAAGATCTGTAAGATCATGCATGACTCGTGCTTCTGAGCAATACAGACACCAAAGCCTCTTCTACAGCGATCTGGCTGGGTGTGGAGGTGGCATGTGATGCACTTCAGTGATTTCGCTGCTGGAGAGAGCACAGAGCTGATGTGAGGACAGGCAGAGGCAGGGACCTGCAGAAGGCAGGTGCATGGACAAAGAGCTGGTGGTCATGTATTCAGGAGAGAAATGGTTGAAACTCCCACCAACTCCTCATCCCAGAGTAATGACCAGAAAATGCCATTGTGTTAGTAAGAATATTCTGGTCCCAACTTTAGCCCATTTAACCTGGATATATTTGAGTAAAAATCTAGCCTCCAATGTCATCAATTTCCCTTGCTTAAAAATGGTGCTATGCATCCTGGCCTGGGCTACTTGGCAGGGCTGTAAGATATGTCAGTGTGGTAGTGAGGGTGAGTGTTTTAAAATATTTTACCCAATCTAGTGTTAGTATTATGGGGTTTCTCACATTGGCATTGTTTTGTGTTATATATTGCTACTTGGAAGTTATTATGTGACATTTTCCATTATTTTGAGCTTCAGACTGAATTAAAGGCCCCATGGATTCCTGGATTGTAGCTCAGTCAGAATGAATCCTTTATGAGGTTCTGTGGGGTGACCTATTCAAAATACAGGTTTGTTTGTTTGTTTTAAATCTCCACCTGGTGCACTTAAGTGAGAGAGGAAGGTAGCATTTATTGGGAATCTCATTTGGACCCAATTCTTTCAAACTATCTGATTTAATCCTCACAAAAGCTTTGCAGGCAAGTATTATTGTCCACATTTCTCAAATGAGCAGCTAGAGGCATAGAAAATTTAAGAATGTGACTGTGCCGTTTTTTTTTTTTTTTCAAATCTGTCTGATTCCAGACCATCCAACCTGTCCTCTCCTACAGTTACTGTGGTAATACAAAGTCCCTGAGAAGGGTATCAAAAGCCATTGTCTGGCACTAAAACAAACCACAAAATTATTCATTATAGATTCACCGGCTCTCCCAGCAAAGGGAACATAGGGTTATAAATAGAAAGGATGTCCTAAGGAGAATCTTACTAGGGTTTTGGATTATGTGGAGTGATAGGGACAGAGGGGGAAGCAGGAGGAAGGGACAGCCATAGAGGCTTGTGCACCTGGAGGGAATGGCAGAATTTTGAAAAGGACAGATAAGTTGGCAGAGAAGGCAGAGGGGGAGTGTTCCGAAGGCCAGCCTCCTCTTCCCCATAAACGTGGCCAAAGTACAGTCCTGCATGGACACATACTACACCCTTGAAGGCTTCCTGGGGCTCCCCAGATCCTGTCCCTGGAGCCCAGTTCTCAGGCGTGGGACTCACCCGCACCGAGGCAGAAGAGGAGGAAGAACCACAAGAAGTGTTTGTTCATCCTGATGCAGAAGTCGATAGTGCAGAAGAGAAGCAGCCAGTGGCTGCAAGCGCAGGTCTTTGGGCTCTGGGGAAAAACTTTCTCCTTCTTCTGAGGCTGGTGATTATTCATGCCTAAGGGGAGTCAGTCACACAAGATGTTCTCCTGGAGCTCAAGTTCATTGGCGGTCCTCCCCACTGCAGAGAATGATAATTAGTTAATGTTGGGATTTGCACTGAGCTAACTTTTTTTAAACATGAAATCTTCATCCTAGTAAATATTATGAACATAGTGATGTATTATTATTCCTGTCCCAATTTCACAGAGGAGAAAATTAGGTTTGGTGAGTCCAGAATCTTATCCATGGTCACATAGCTATTGACTGATTGCGCCAGTACTCAAAGTCAGACTTTCTAATTCCTTCTCATTCTACAGTTTTTGCCACCATGATTCAGCGCCTCTTTGAGATTTATTTGTACATTCACCATATATTTATTGAGAGCTTCGGTCTCACGTGTGAGAGCGAAGCTGTGAGTGAGGCAGACAAGCTCTCCCAGCCCCTCACACTATGAGTGAGAACAGGAGAGTGAAAAACATGAAAAGACAGATGGTCTCTGCTCAAGCTGTGCCTGCAACTTGGAATTTCTGATTCCCAGCCTAGAGCTCTTTCACCTTATCAGAAATATGTCCTCCGAGGCCAGCCACCGCTTACTTTGTGGGGCTGTGAAATCTCCCCGAGAATTATCCCACAGCTTGATCTTTAGCAAATTTCTATTTTGAGTCTGGCTAGTTTTGTCCATGATTTAGGTGTCTGTCTCTACGAAAGCTGCCTCAGTTAAGGTTCCCATGGGTAAACCTCTGGATGACTATGACAGATCCTGGCATTGCAAGTCTCCTAAACTTGTCAGTCACCTGATGGTACTTTGGCCACAGTCACTAGAAATATTCTATACCAAACTGTTTTAATGTCATCAATGTGAGCAATATGTTCATCAAAAACATTTGGCCTCACAGTCAGCTTAACCTAAGAAAATCTGCTACTCCCTCACCCTATCCCTCTACCCCCTCCCTTTTCCTCAAGGCTGGTATGTTCCGATAAGAACGTCTGGTGCAACTCACCTTGTCCCCTATCTCTTACCTTTCTGTCATGCTGGTGTATTCCAATAAAAACATCCTGTACAAAGCAAAAGCAAAAACAAAACAAAACAAAAGAAAAACAAACAAACAAAAAAGAAACACTAAGCCGTTGTGGAATGCTGAGTGCTCAGAATAGCTGCCCAACCCCATCGCAGACAAACCATAGAAAGCCTCTGGGAGTCTGTACAAGGGCAGTACACTGATCTTTCAGTTTCCCCTCCAGGTTTGCTGGAGTAAACGTTCTTGCTAGATAAAGTTTGGCTTGGAGTCCTTTATGCTGTTTGTCTCGCTGACCTCAGAAAAACATATTGTCTGACATTTCTAGACATCAAATGAAGATCGAGTGAAATAAGGTCTTCGGTCAAATGCCATAAAATGTACAATGTTTCTCTTCTGAGATGAGCCAGAACGTGGAGTCCATCTTTGCCTAAGAAGTGAGCCAGAAGTCTCAGGGACTTAGACACAAGGGAATTGGTTATCTGGAAAGAAGTGATTTGAGAATGGAGAGTTAAGGTTGTGATGTCTTTGATTCTAGTTTTCCATTCTGCCATATTTCAGGAAAGGATGTTTGGAAGTGGATGGCATTTTTCAGAAAATTCCCAGGTTTATGCAAAGGGCAAACCCCTGAGCCTTCATTCATCACTTGTTTTCTGTGCTTTACCCTCTGTTTAAAGATAGTGACACTAGAATCAGAGCACAGGAAGCAGACAGTCCAGGTTAAAGTGCAGATGATTTGCACAGTTTTTATTCTTCACCCTTCAAGGTTTTCTTTGGCAGATGCTCTCTGAAAGGCCCATGGAGCTTAGGATGTCCTGTCTACTGAATTATCCCTAGTTAGAATTCAGGAATTTTGCATCCAAATATTGGTATCCTCTGACCTAATCCTCATTTTCCACAGTACCTAATCCATCAAATTTTGTCTTGTAAACAATTGCGTGTTTTCCTTATCATAAGGTAGGAGAGGACGGGCATTAGAAACCTACTAAGAGAAGTAGCAAAGTCAAGATGGTGGAATAGACAGTCCCCAGCATCACTCTCTCCCACAAATAAACCAATTTACAACTATAAAAATCAATGACAGCCAAGCTGGTTGCCATTAGAGCTCAGGGGAAGAGGAGGAGAGATCTATGGAGTGCATAAAGGTGGGAGAAGCCACGATGAGAGAGTGAAAAAACCACTCTGACCATTCCATGTCGTGGCTGCTTTAAGGCTGGAGCTGCTGATCACATGGAGCAGGAGCCGGTAGAAGCTGCAGCTGTGCCTCCAGATGAAGTCGCTTGCAGGAAGCAGGGGAGAAGAGGGCCTTGGTGGCCCCCAGGCCAGCAAGACAACTAATAGGGCTCCTGTGGACTCACTTAGGAGTGAGGAGCGTTAACAATTGAAAGAAAGGAGCCACTCAGAGGCCATTGAGTCATCATAAGGGACCAGTGTGTGGCCCGTCCCATGGGAAGTGTTTTCAGCATGGGTGGTGGGGGAGATGGGCCCACCAGGAGAACACTGGGGCACAGCAAGGACGGCTGACTGGCACTCCAATCAGTGCAGGACCACTCAGAGAAGACTGGTCAGGAATATAGAATTGCATGGGGTGCAGTTTGATGAAAAGACTCAGGCCCAGAGCAGAGTTTCTACACAACCCAGGTGCACTGGGTCTCTGGAGAGCCAGAAGTATGTATAAAGTCAACCATTAAAACCTGAGCTTCACAAACAGCCTTTCCTAGGGAATCAGCCGCAAAGCAGCAATTTAGCTAAACCACACAGCTCAAGTGCTGGTCACCACAGGAAGCACCCTCATTTTAGAAGTAAGCAAAGGACAAAAAATTAGTTCCGGCCTAGGCACACCACCAGCACCTCAGGGCTACCAGGGAACCTGAGATATTGAGCCAGGGACTGGACCCCCCCCCCACAACCAGGCACACTGCCAGCACCAAGGAGCATGCCAAAAACATCACCTCCGTGTGGGTGGCCCACCACAGCCACCACAATAAGCAAGGTTGCCATGAAAGCAGATGCCACAACCACCACGCAGATGGTCTACCAGCCACTGGAGTGCATTGACACAAGGAGAGTCACCAGCAGAGACCAAAGAAAAGAAGGGGATGTCTCTCTCCACATAGCCCATTCCAGAGTGACAGAAGAAACATCTGCTCTACGATAATATTGGGGGATCTGAACACACCTCTCAGCATTGGACAGATCATCAAGGCAACAAATCAACAGAGTAACCATTACTCTTTCAGATGGAGAGAAGAAATCTAGGGTTATCAGAGGTGGGAAGGTGGAGGGAGAGGAGGATGGGGACAGATTGGACAAGGGGCATAAAGAATAGGTATGATTTGTAACAATATGTATGCTAGTATTATTGATTTGATCAACATATGTCAATGTTGATCCCCCAAAGTAAATATTTGTAATCAATTATGATTCAATAAAAATTTTTTTTTTTAAAAAGTAGTGTGGTATGTGGAAAACGGAAAGAGCATTTCTCTGGGAGTCTGAGACCTGTGGTTGGTCACTGTGTCAGTCATTGCATCTCTAGTTAGTCACTTATCTGCAATATTAGATTTCAATTACTTTTAGGGCCCTTTACAACTTCAACATTTTATGGTTCCATGACACAAATCGTGACGATGGGTACCAAGTTCTGTTCTTCTGAAGTGCCTGGCACTCTGCTTGGCACCACTATCCACAATGCCACTGGGTCATTGGGCACAGCACCCAAATTAATGTGCCCCATCCCAAGAAGGCCCTCTCCCTAGCATGGGTGCCATTTGCCCTGCTCTGTGGAGGAGAAAGCAGAACATTGTGTGCTCTTGTTCATGGTCTGTCTTGGCTCCGGGGTGAGTGACTGAGATCGTGGTGATATCACAGATGAGCAGTACTCTTAACTTGTGCTTCTGAATGCTGCCCTTTGTTTGGGGGGAATGGACGTTAGCACAGAGTCAGGGATCTGGCTGCTTTGTTCTTTGGTTCCCTGAGGCAGCATTGGTTTCCCAGAGTGTATATGGAGACTGGAGTGAGAGATAATGACCCTTTAAAAAAATATGGTGAAGGGTGCCTGCTTGCATGGCTCAGAGAAAACACTTAGAACACACATCCTGCCCATCCCACCTCGAGTTGCTGGTGGGGAAAGAGGGGAAGGAAAAAGAGAACAAAACCAAGATTTATTGAGTGCTTACCACGTGCCACACACGAGGCTAGCTGCTCCCACACACATCATCTCGTGGGGCCTGCACAACAACCTTGTGGCAAAGTGTCTGGATAAAAGCAAAGCTGCAGTTCAATCCTAGATTGCTGCCACTTCAATTCAGTCTTTATTTACCATATTGCTGTTAACATGATGCTTCAGATGAAAAGTCATAATACATAATAAAAAGTCACGAAAAGCCCTTTCAAGACCATTTATGGACTGATTTGATGAATTTGAGTATCAGAGCTTTCTGAGTACCTTATCTCCATTCCTGAGTTAGGTTTTATTGATATGGGGTCCTGGATCCTCTTAGTTTACCAGGTCCATGAATATGATATAAAAATTTATATTTTTAGTTTTCATTAACTTCCAGCTGATATGAATCATTTCCTTTTCTATTTTTTATTTTATTTTATGAATATACAATGTAGTTGATTTCATTTCCCTTTACCAATTTCTCCTTTTCCCCTCTTGTTTCCCCCCATCACCATCATATCTGTTCTCTCGTCTTAAAAAGTTCAAGGAATTGTTGTGATTGTTGTGTCTTCATCCCTCCTCCCCCCACCAGTTTTTTTTTTTTTTTTGTATATCCCCCCCCCAGTTTTTTTTTTTTTTTTGTATATTTATTTATTTATTTTTATTAGCTCTTGCAAATACGTGAAAACATGCAGGATTTCTCTTTCTGTGCCTGGCTTAT